AACCTTTGTGGGCCTTGCCTGGAGCATTGCTGCAAGCATAGAATCATAGAATATCAGGGTTGGAAGGGACCTCAGGAGCTCATCTGGTCCAACCCCCTGCTCAAAGCAGGACCAATCCCCAACTAATCATCCCAGCCAGGGCTTTGTCAAGCCTAACCTTAAAAACCTCAAAGGAAGGAGATTCCACCACCTCCCTAGGTAACCCATCCCAGTGCTTCACCACCCTCCTAGGGAAATAGTTTTTCCTAATATCCAGCCTAAACCTCCCCACTGCAACTTGAGACCATTACTCCTTTTTCTGTCATCTGCTACCACTGAGAACAGTCTAGAGCCATCTTCTTTGAAACCCCCTTTCAGGTAGTTGAAAGCAGCTATCAAATCCCACCTCATTCGTCTCTTCTGCAGACTAAACAATCCCAGTTCTCTCAGCCTCTCCTCATAAGTCATGTGCTTCAGTCCCCTAATCATTTTTGTTGCCCTCCGCTGGACGCTTTCCAATTTTTCCATATCCTTCTTGTAGTGTGGGGCCCAAAACTGGACACAGTACTCCAGATGAGACCTCACCAATGTCGAATAGATGGGAACGATCACGTCCCTCAATCTGCTGGCAATGTCCCTACTTTTGCAGCCCAAAATGCGATTAGCCTTCTTGGCAACAAGGGCACATTATTGACTCATATCCAGCTTCTCATCCACTGTAACCCCTAGGTCCTTTTCTGCAGAACTGCTGCCTAGCCATTCGGTCCCTAGTCTGTAGCTGTGCATGGGATTTTTCTGTTCTAAGTGCAGGACTCTGCACTTGTCCTTGTTGAACTCATCAGATTTCTTTTGGCCCAATCCTCTAATTTGTCTAGGTCCCTCTGTATCCTATCCCTACCCTCCAGCATATCTACCACTCCTCCCAGTTTCGTGTCATCTGCAAACTTGCTGAGGGTGCAATCCACACCATCCTCCAGATCATTAATGAAAGGTTTCAGAGGAACAGCCGTGTTAGTCTGTATTCGCAAAAAGAAAAGGAGTACTTGTGGCACCTTAGAGACTTGAACAAAACCGGCCCCAGGACCAACCTTTTGGGCACTCCGCTTGATACCGGCTGCCAACTGGACATGGCGCCATTGATCACTACCCATTAAGCCTGAAGATCTAGCCAGGTTTCTATCTGCTGTAGTAAGAGACCCTGAAATACAAACCCTTGTATCAGAGGCCTGGTCTGAGGCCTAAAGCCTGAACCAAAGTACTTCCAGGCATTGCTAAGCAAAGCTGGGCTGTGAGCCAGAGGCAGGCCCTAATTGCAGAACTTGGCAAGAAAAGGGATCCTAGAAAGCATGTGCTAATGATATAAGTAGTAATAAGAGGAACGTGTACCAAGATGGCACCTGGACATCCCAATACGAGGACACTTCACAGAGATAACAAGGAACAGCCAGATGCACCCCAAAGACAGGGTCAAAAGGACAGCATGATGGACAGATCTGTTTGTTTGAACCAACATGATCAAAGGGGGAGACAGCACCCTAATGAGTCAAGGGGCTGTACCTCAATATGTCAGTAGGGATGAGTAATCTGTCCTGCAACTGTATAAAAATAGGTCCTGGAGCGCATATCTTTGTCCAGCCTAGGGGGCAGTGGAGTGTCCCGCCACTGACTGAGCTGTGTCCATTGCCAGGGGGCACATATTCGTAGTATGTCCTGGAGAGTCTATAGGAAACTATTCCTGTGCTTCGTTTGACAATAAACCGGGCCGGGTGCCTTCGTACCTTACTAGAGTCTGTGGTCTTTGGGGTTTCTCTCGGGGTCTGCTGTGTCAGATATCTGCACAGAGCTGGGGCAGCACACAGAGGGAACATGCATGCAGCCGACTGTTATCATCATTGAACCAGAGCAGAGCACCTCACCAGTAGCTACCGACAACATCCACCTTATAGTCCATCCAGCCCATACTTCTTTAACTTGCTGGCAAGAATACTGTGGGAGACCGTGTCAAAAGCTTTGCTAAAGTCAAGGAACAACACATCCACTGCTTTCCCTTCATCCACAGAGCCGGTTATCTCATCATCGAAGGCAATTAGATTAGTCAGGCATGACTTGCCCTTGGTGAATCCATGCTGACTGTTCCTGATCACTTTCCTCTCCGCTAAGTGCTTCAGAATTGATTCCTTGAGGACCTGCTCCATGATTTTTCCAGGGACTGAGGCAGCTTTCCCGTCCCCAAGTAGCATGTCTCCTTGTCCTGACACAGAGGACAGCATTGCTGCAATGCAGTTGCTCACACGCTACCAGGCAGCTCCAGCCTCAGTCAGTTGTCAGACCTTGGACCTGCTCATCCCCTCTGCTCCCTGGGACTTCCAGAGAACTCATCCCTTGCAGGTTGCAGCTGATGGTTTGCAGGTGCTGTACCCTTTTAACTTCCCTCTGGTCCCTGCTGGCTGGCTCAAGGCTTCCTAGACAAGCTGAGGGGGTCGGGCAGGAGGGGCTGGGCTTCCCAAGAAAGGTCATGTGCACCCTGTGCATAGGGTGGGGTGGTAAGAATGAGTGGTGCAGGTGATCAGGTGCATCCCTGTGTGCCTATGAACCATGGAACTAGAGAGCAGCAGGAGGCTGTCCCTGGGGAGGCTAGGCTACAGGGCTCAAGATGGGGAGAGCCCTTTCCTTGGAGAGCAGGTGAAAAGTTCACTGCCCCATGGATATTTATAAGGCTGTCCTGGCAGGTACACGTCTGTGCACTGCTGGCCCCTGTGGGAGTGAATCAGACATGTGTGTCCTTCTGCTACCAGGTGTGCAGACTTAGGCTACATCTATACTAGAAACTTCGAAGCACTCCCGCAGCAGCGCTTTAAAGTGTAAGTGTGGTCACGCGCTCCTGGTAATCCACCTCCATGAGAGGAGTCGCTCGGAGCCTGTCCACGCTAGCGCTGTAAAGCACTCAAACTTGCTGCACTGGGGGGGGCGGGATTTTTCACACCCCTGAGCCAGCAAGTTAGAACGCTATGAAATGTAAGTGTAGCCAAGCACTTAGACCAGGTTACGTGTATTTCTGGGCACCCCTGCCCCTGCTTGGATGGTTTGGCTTTCGTGTGTGTCCCTGTGTGCGCACAGGTGGCTCGAGGCCCCTGGAAATTAGTCTGAATGATGGATGCAGGTCCCCACACACCTAAAGAAAGCCACAGTCCCTGCCCTGACAAGCTTACAGTCTAAAGAGAGAGGGAGCTGGACAGGAGGGCAAAGTCAGAAGGCCTGGGACCCGCGTGACCCAGCGACGCACATCCTGTTACACACTTGTGTGGCAATGCTGGTCCCTCTGGGCTCAGACTGGCTGCTGCTGTCGCCCACGTATACTGAGCTGATTAGCGTGAGTGTAGGGCGAGGAGGGGGCTGTTTGGAGACACAGGTCAAATGGTTACAGCTGCTTCTCTGGACTCCACGGGCACAGCATGGGCTTCTTTAGTGGAAGTGCCTGTGCTCTTGCCCAGAGTCATTGGAGCCTGTGTGCTGGGTGCAGATTACTATCCCCTTTTGCCTTTTGACTGCAAGTTGCTGCCTTTGCCCTGCCTGTTGCCCATTGGCTGATGCCCTAAGCTAAGCAGTGCTTGGGCAGGAGGCCCCGTGCAGCGTGTCCAGCGTGTGGCTGGAAGTGAAGCTGGTGACGAAGTGGAAGGAGATGATCCACCTGGAGCTCTGCTGTGCAGTGAGATGTGAAGCCAATGACCTGAGCTGCTTTCGTCCAGCCCTTGTGGGAATGTCATGAATGCTCAGCCTTTGTTTCGACCACCCACAGGGGCTGTTACTGTTGTGGTCACGAGAAACAGCCCAGCACCACCTGGTGGTGAGTCAGTTTCTGCTGCTGCCCCCAGGAGAGAGCTTGGCCCCTGTGAGTATCAGCTGCACTTGGTGGCCCTTCCAGTCCTTGGCTTCCCCAGCTTGAGCTGCTCCCCCCTCCAAGGGGCAGTCCCTCTTTTCAGGCTGTGAACAGCCTTTAAACACTCTGCAGGGACTCCTAGGGATAACGAGCCATAGTGGTGAAATAACAGCTTCCACGAGAGGAAAGCAGGAGCAGAGCAGGTGACCAAGTGCCCCAGAGGGAAAACTACCGGTTAATATAAAGATGACAGCTTGAGGTTCAGCACCCCAGCCGGAAGAAAATGTGGCTCCGTCTAGATCCCACCTGCTGGCCCATAGTGCTGTCCTTTGGAGCTGTTGGGCCTGCCATCTCACACAGGGGAACTGCACCTTTGCTGGTTTCAGAGTAACAGCCATGTTAGTCTGTATTCGCAAAAAGAAAAGGAGTACTTGTGGCACCTTAGAGACTAACCAATTTATTTGAGCATAAGCTTTCGTGAGCTACAGCTCACTTCATCGGATGCATCGAAAGCTTATGCTCAAATAAATTGGTTAGTCTCTAAGGTGCCACAAGTACTCCTTTTCTTTTTGCACCTTTGCTGTGGCTGAGGGAGCAATGCAGGTCTTAATTACTGTCTACTTTCTGCCTATAGTCTAAATCAGCCGCGAGGTCTAACAAACACAGCCACCTTTCACCTGGAATCCATAGTCAACCAAACACTCAGCTGGGCCCTCTCTCACTATCACTATCTGAAGATCTGTTCAACACCCAGCGGGTAAATTGAGACAAAAGGGGTCTGGATCCAGTCCAGCCAACTGCCCCCCTCACAAAAAACTAGTGCTCTTGGCTCTCCAGCCTCCCTGCCAGGCTACCTCCTACTTCTGACTCACTAGGGCATTCCCAGAACTCTCTGGCCATTGGCCCTTTTCCCACAGAGCCTGGAAGCCAGACTTTGTGGATCCCTGAGCTTTCCTCCCACCCAAGGACTGGATCCCTAGATCATGCCCTAATCCACCCCCTGGTAACCCCTGTTGTGAATTTGTTCCTGGCAGAACACCATGTACAGAAGGCCGTGTTCTGACAGACAGCTGGGCTGGAAGCTGCTCACTCAATCATCTTTCTCCAGCTATTTCATTAGAGCTCAATCTGCTTCGCTTAACAGAGAGAGAAGCTTCAGCGATGACTTGATCACAGCCTATAAATAGCTACATGGGGAATAAATATTTAACAATGGGATCTTCAGTCTAGCACACAAAGGTCTAACATGATCCAATGGCTGGAAGTTGAAGCTAGACAAATTCCGACTGAAAAAAAGGTAACTGAAAATTATGTAGCCGGTTGTAAAAATTTAACAATGAGCATAATTAACCATGGGAACAATTTACCCAGGGGTCTGGTGATTCTCCATCCCTGGCAATTTTTAAATCAGGATTGGATGTTTTTCTAACAGCTCTGCCCTAGGAGCTTTTATGGGGTAGGTTTCTGGCCTGTGTGAAACAGGAGGTCAGATGATCACGGTGGGCCCTTCTGACCTTGGAATCTAGGACTCTCCCACCATTTCTGTAGCTCAAGCAGCTGGACATGGCACATACAGGCTTGTTTTTACCATCCCAGCACTGTGTGCCTGAGCTGCTTTTAATAGCTACCCTGGTCTTCTGGGGTTGAGGTTGCTGGTATTTCTTACCCTTAACGTGCCTGTGTTTTGTCTGGAAGTTTCTTTAGGTTTTTTTTTTTAAATGATTTAGAATTTATCAGTGAGAACAGTCAGTGCGGGGGTCTTTAACCCGTCATGGTCTAAGCGGGGCTCTCTAACTCTACCAGGTTCCCAGGGAACACTGAGTAGGGAGCCTGGGGACAGACGGCCTGAGGCCTCACTTCTGAGGAGGCCTCTTAGAGGTTAGAGGGTTGCTGAAGCAGAGTCAAGCCATGTGGGAGTCCAGGGGAGCCTGAGGAAGAGCAGAGAGGAACGGGATCCACTGCAGGAGCGCGGCCAAACCCCATCGCCCCTAGCGGCTGAGAAGTGCACTTATGAAGCATGCAGCTGCTGTTTCTGACACCTTGCCAGTTGTTTTGTTGTTGTCTGTTTGCAGCTGGTTGGAAAGGATGTCACCATCCAAGCAGCCAGGAGAAAGCAGGACCTGGTGAGAGAGGTGACATGGTGAGATTAATTAGCCGTGTGTCCTTCTCAGTAGAGGATGTTTTGGCAACAGGCCAAAGATGAGAGGCTTCCCACAGGAAAGACTTTAAATGTGTGCTTGAAAAACTGCTTGCTCCTTCATCCCATTCTTGAATTTTTCAGGGGACTCCTTTGGGTCCAGAATGCTAGGAGGTGGTTGAGGGAACTGCTGTAAGCCATTAGGTAGGGTCCGTGGTAAACTGACAATGTTAAAGCATGTGTGATTTGGAGCAGTGGTTCTCAACTTTTCCAGACTACTGTCCCCCTTTCAGGGGTCTGATTTGTCTTGCATACCCCCAAGTTTCACCTCACTTACAAACTAGTTGCTTACAAAATCAGACATAAAAATACAAAAGTGTCACAGCCACACTATTACTGAAAAATTGCTTGCTTTCTTATTTTGTCTGTATGCTAGTGCTTTTTATGTAGCCTGTTGTAAAATTAGGCAAACATTTAGATGAGTTAAGGTACCCCCTTGGAATCTATGAATTTATTAATTTTGTTAGAAAAATAATTTAAAAACGGAGGTGGTCGAGAATTTTTGGGTCAACCATTTTTCATAAGAAAATGCTGATTCATCAAACCTGAAAACCTTTGTGGGAAAAGGTCAGTTCTGACAAATGTCTTGTTTTGAACATTTTTTGGAAAAAATGCTTTTGAAATTGTCGGAATGAAAAATTCAACTTTTTTGGTTTGGAACGATGTTCTGTTTCTAAATGTCAACTAAGCAGAGTAAAAATGATAAAAATTAAAAAGGTCAAAATTGAAATGAAACACTGAAATTATTGAAACAAAACAGTGGGATTGACGCAGATTATTGGTTTGGCAAAAAATTTCGAGATTGTAACTTTTCATTCTGATTTGGGAGAGGACATTTTTTTGAAATCTCAGCATTTTTCCCAGGACAGGAAACCGCTTTCCCTCCCAGCTCTAAAAATGACAATGGCCATCCTCAATTTGGCAGCTTGGTTGGAATGTTCTTTATCCCCATTCGATGTTCTTCCCCTGTCCCTGAGGGCTTGTCTATACTACCTCTTAAGTCGAAGTAACTTATGTTAGTGACCATAATATAATAACATTTAACATTCTTGTGGTGGGAAGAACACCTCAGCAGCCCAACACTGTGGCATTTAATTTCAGAAAGGGGAACTATGCAAAAATGAGGTTAGTTAAACAGAAATTAAAAGAACAGGAGTACTTGTGGCACCTTAGAGACTAACAAATTTATTAGAGCATAAGCTTTTGTGGGCTACAGCCCACTTCATCGTATGCCTAGAATGGAACATATAGTAAGATATATACAGATAAGTTGGAAATTATCATACAAACTGTGAGATGCTAATTAGTTAAGATGAGCTATTATCAGCAGGAGAAAAAAACTTTTGTAGTGATAATCAAGATGGCCCATTTAGACAGTTGTGACATCTTCATCATCTGGACCCATGGAAAAGAAGCCCTTGAGGAATTCCACCATGATTTCGACAATTTCCATCCCACCATCAACCTCAGCCCAGACCAATCCACACAAGTGGTCCATTTTCTGGACACTACTGTGCTAATAAGCAATGGTCACATGAACACCACCCTATACCGGAAACCTACTGACCGCTGTACTTAACTACATGCCTCCAGCTTCCATCCAGGACACACCACACGATCCATTGTCTACAGCCAAGCTGTAAGATACAACCCCATTTGCTCCAATCCCTCAGACAGAGACAAACACCTACAAGATCTCTATCAAGTGTTCTTAAAACTGCAATACCCACCTGCTGAAGTGAAGAAACAGATTGACAGAGCCAAAAGAATACCCAGAAGTCACCTACTACAGGACAGGCCCAACAAAGAAAATAACAGAACGCTGCTAGCTGCCACCTTCACCCCCAGCTAAAACCTCTCCAGCTCATCATCACAGATTTACAACCTATCCTCAAAAATGATCCCTCACTCTCACAGATCTTGGGAGACAGACCAGTCCTCGCTTACAGACAGCCCCCCAACTGGAAGCAAATACTCACCAGCAACCACACAACAAAAACACTAACCCAGGAACAAAAAGAAAAGGAGTACTTATGGCACCTTAGAGACTAACCAATTTATTTGAGCATGAGCTTTCGTGAGCTACAGCTCACTTCATCGGATGCATACCGTGGAAACTGCAGTAGACATTATATACACACAGAGACCATGAAACAATACCCCCTCCCACCCCACTCTCCTGCTGGTAATAGCTTATCTAAAGTGATCATCAAGTTGGGCCATTTCTAGCACAAATCCAGGTTTTCTCACCCTCCGCCCCCCCCCCCCACACACACACACACACAAACTCACTCTCCTGCTGGTAATAGCCCATCCAAAGTGACCACTCTCTTCACAATGTGTATGATAATCAAGGTGGGCCATTTCCTGCACAAATCCAGGTTCTCTCACCCCCTCACCCCCCTCCAAAAACCACACACACAAACTCACTCTCCTGCTGGTAATAGCTCATCCAAAGTGACCACTCTCCCTACAATGTGCATGGTAATCAAGGTGGGTCATTTCCAGCACAGATCTAGGCTTTCTCACCCCCGCCTGCCCCGGGGAACACACACACACACACATAAACTCACTCTCCTGCTGGCAATAGCTCATCCAAACTGACCACTCTCCAAGTTTAAATCCAAGTTTAACCAGAACGTCTGGGGGGGGGGTAGGAAAAAGCAAGGGGAAATAGGCTACCTTGCATAATGACTTAGCCACTCCCAGTCTCTAATTAAGCCTAAATTAATAGTATCTAATTTGCAAATGAATTCCAATTCAGCAGTTTCTCACTGGAGTCTGGATTTGAAGTTTTTTTGTTGTAAGATAGTGACCTTCATGTCGGTGATTGCGTGACCAGAGAGATTGAAGTGTTCTCCGACTGGTTTATGAATGTTATAATTCTTGACATCTGATTTGTGTCCATTTATTCTTTTACGTAGAGACTGTCCAGTTTGACCAATGTAAATGGCAGAGGGGCATTGCTGGCACATGATGGCATATATCACATTGGTGGATGTGCAGGTGAACGAGCCTCTGATAGTGTGGCTGATGTTATTAGGCCCTGTGATGGTGTCCCCTGAATAGATATGTGGGCACAGTTGGCAACGGGCTTTGTTGCAAGGATAGGTTCCTGGGCTTGTGGTTCTGTTGTGTGGTATGTGGTTGTTGGTGAGTATTTGCTTCAGGTTGCGGGGCTGTCTGTAGGCAAGGACTGGCCTGTCTCCCAAGATTTGTGAGAGTGTTGGGTCATCCTTCAGGATAGGTTGTAGATCCTTAATAATGCGTTGGAGGGGTTTTAGTTGGGGGCTGAAGGTGACGGCTAGTGGCGTTCTGTTATTTTCTTTGTTAGGCCGATCCTGTAGTAGGTGACTTCTGGGAACTCTTCTGGCTCTATCAATCTGTTTCTTCACTTCCGCAAGTGGGTATTGTAGTTGTAAGAAAGCTTGATAGAGATCTTGTAGGTGTTCGTCTCTGTCTGAGGGGTTGGAGCAAATGCGGTTGTATCGCAGAGCTTGGCTGTAGACGATGGATCGTGGGGTGTGGTCAGGGTGAAAGCTGGAGGCATGTAGGTAGGAATAGCGGTCAGTAGGTTTCCAGTATAGGGTGGTGTTTATGTGACCATTGTTTATTAGCACTGTAGTGTCCAGGAAGTGGATCTCTTGTGCGGACTGGACCAGGCTGAGGTTGATGGTGGGATGGAAATTGTTGAAATCATGGTGGAATTCCTCAAGGGCTATTACCAGCAGGAGAGTGAGTTTGTGTGTGTATGGGGGTGGGGGGGGTGAGAAAACCTGGATTTATGCTGGAAATGGCCCACCTTGATTATCATGCACATTGTAGGGAGAGGTTTCAGAGGAACAGCCGTGTTAGTCTGTAGTGGTCACTTTGGATAAGCTATTACCAGCAGGAGAGTGAGTTTGTGTGTGTGGTTTTTGGAGGGGGGTGAGGGGGTGAGAGAACCTGGATTTGTGCAGGAAATGGCCCACCTTGATTATCATACACATTGTGAAGAGAGTGGTCACTTTGGATGGGCTATTACCAGCAGGAGAGTGAGTTTGTGTGTGTGTGTGGGGGGGGGGGCGGAGGGTGAGAAAACCTGGATTTGTGCTGGAAATGGCCCAACTTGATGATCACTTTAGATAAGCTATTACCAGCAGGAGAGTGGGGTGGGAGGAGGTATTGTTTCATGGTCTCTGTGTGTATATAATGTCTACTGCAGTTTCCACGGTATGCATCCGATGAAGTGAGCTGTAGCTCACGAAAGCTCATGCTCAAATAAATTGGTTAGTCTCTAAGGTGCCACAAGTACTCCTTTTCTTTTAACTTAGGGAAATAGATTCAATATGTGTAATGACACAGGCACTCCCAGTCTCTATTCAAACCTGAGTTAATGGTATCTAGTTTGCATATTAATTCAAGCTCAGCAGTTTGTCCTTGGAGTCTGTTTTTGAAGCTTTTCTGTTGCTACAGCTCACGAAAGCTCATGCTCAAATAAATTGGTTAGTCTCTAAGGTGCCACAAGTACTCCTTTTCTTCATGTAATAAGAAAAGCCAAAAAGGAGTTTGAAGAACAGCTAGCCCAAAACTCGAAAGGTAATAACAAAATGTTTTTTAAGTACATCAGAAGCAGGAAGCCTGCTAAACAACCAGTGCGGCCCTTAGACAATCGAGCTACAAAAGGAGCACTTAAAAACGACAAAGTCATTGTGGAGAAACTAAATGAATTCTTTGCTTCAGTCTTCACGGCTGAGGATGTTAGGGAGATTCCCAAACCTGAGCTGTCCTTTGTAGGTGACAAATCTGAGGAATTGTCACATACTGAAGTGTCGTTAGAGGAGGTTTTGGAATTAATTGGTAAACTTAACAGTAACAAGTCACTAGGACCAGATGGCATTCACCTAAGAGTTCTGAAAGAACTTAAATGTGAAATTGTGGAACTATTAACTATGATTTGTAACCTGTCCTTTAAATCAGCTTCTGTACCCAATGACTGGAAGACAGCTAATGTAACGCCAATATTTAAAAAGGGCTCTAGAGATAATCCTGGCAATTACAGACTAGTAAGTCTAACGTCTGTACTGGGCAAATTAGTTGAAACAATAGTAAAGAATAAAATTGTCAGACACATAGAAGAACATAAATTGTTGGGAAAAAGTCAACATGGTTTCTGTAAAGGGAGATCATGTCTTACTGATCTATTAGAGTTCTTTGAAGGGGATAACAAACATGTGGACAAGGAGGATCCAGTGGACATAGTATACTTAGATTTCCAGAAAGCCTTTCACAAGGTCCCTCACCAAAGGCTCTTACGTAATTTAAGTTGTCATGGGATAAGAGGGAAGATCCTTTCATGGATTGAGAACTGATTAAAAGACAGGGAACAAAGGGTAGTAATAAATGGTAAATTTTCAGAATGGAGAGAGGTAACTAGTGGTGTTCCCCAACGGTCAGTCCTAGGACCAGTCCTATTCAACTTATTCATAAATGATCTGGAGAAAGGGGTAAACAGTGAGGTGGCAAAGTTTGCAGACAATACTAGACTGCTCAAGATAGTTAAGACCAGCAGACTGTGAAGAATTTCAAAAAGATCTCACAAAACTAAGTGATTGGGCAACAAAATGGCAAATGAAATTTAATGTGGATAAATGTAAAGTAATGCACATTGAAAAAAATAACCCCAACTATACATTCAATATGATGGGGGCTAATTTAGCTAAAACTAATGAGGAAAGAGATCTTGGAGTCATCGTGGATAGTTCTCTGAAGATGTCCACGCAGTGTGCAGCGGCAGTCAAAAAAGCGAATGGGATGTTAGGAATCATTAAAAAAGGGATAGAGAATAAAATTGGGAATAAAACTTATTGCCCTTATATAAATCCATGGTACGCCCACATTTTGAATACTGCGTACAGATGTGGTCCCCTCATCTCAAAAAAGATATACTGGCATTAGAAAAGGTTCAGAGAAGGGCAACTAAAATGATTAGGGGTTTGGAACAGGTCCCATATGAGGAGAAATTAAAGAGACTAGGACTTTTCAGCTTGGAAAAGAGGAGACTAAGGGGGAATATGATAGAGGTATATAAAATCATGAGTGGTGTGGAGAAAGTGAATAAGGAAAAGTTCTTTACTTGTTCCCATAATATAAGAACTAGGGGGCACCAAATGAAATTAATGGGTAGCAGGTTTAAAACAAATAAAAGGAAGTTCTTCACTCAGCCCACAGTCAACCTATGGAACTCCTTGCCTGAGGAGATTGTGAAGGCTAGGACTATAACCGGGTTTAAAAGAGAACTAGATAAATTCATGGAGGTTAAGCCCATTAATGGCTATTAGCCAGGTAAGGAATGGTGTCCCTAGCCTCTGTTTGTCAGAGGGTGGAGATGGATGGCAGGAGAGAGATCACTAGATCATTACCTGTTAGGTTCACTCCCTCTAGGGCAGCTGGCATTGGCCACTGTTGGCAGACAGGATACTGGGATGGATGGACCTTTGGTCTGACCCAGTATGGCCATTCTTATGTTCTTATGTAGTTCAGGGGTGTGAAAAAATCACCCCCCCCCCCCGAATGATGCAAGTCCATACCAGTGCTAAGTTGGCGGGAGACTTTCTCCCACCGACACAGCTTCCACCTCTCATTGAGGTGGAGTAATTATGCTGACAGGAGAGCATTCTCCATATGCGCTACATCAGTGCAATTGTAGTGTAGACTAGCCCAGTGGCTCTCAACCCTTCCAGACTACTGTACCCCTTTCAGGAGTCTGATTTGTCTTGCCTATCACCACGTTTCACCTCACTTAAAAACTACTTGCTTACAAAATCGGACATAAAAATACAAAAGTGTTACAGCCACTATTACTGAAAAATTGCATGCTTTCTTAATTTTAACCATATAATTATAAAATAAATCAATGGGAATATAAATATTGTACTTACATTTCAGTGTGTAGTACATAGAGCAGTATAAACAAGTCACTGTCTGTATGAAATTTGTTTGTACTGACTTCACTAGAGCTTTTTAAGTAGCCTGTTGTAAAACTAGGATAATATATCTAGATGAGTTGATGTACCCCCTGGAAGACCTCTGTGTACTCTTAGGGGTACATCTAACCTTGGCTGAGAACCACTGCACGCTAGCTCTCAGACATCACTGATTTGTATACATGGAGCAGAGTCTGGTAGCATAGAATTATAGAATCATAGATTAGGGTTGGAAGAGACCTCAGGAGGCCATCTAGTCCAACCCCCTGCTCAAAGCAGGACCAACACCCACCAAATCATCCCAGCCAGGGCTTTGTCAAGCCTGGCCTTAAAACCTCTAAGGATGGAGAGTCCATCACCTCCCTTCAGAAGAGCTCAGTCTAGCAATAAGGGGCAGTGAGGGTAATTAACCATTGGCTCAGTTCACCAAGGGTTGTGGTGGATTCTCCATCGCATGCAATTTTTAAAGCACGATTGGCTGTTTTTGTAGAAGCTCTGCTCTAGTTCAGGTGGGATGGATTCAGGGAAGTTCTCAGGTACGCAGGAGCTCAGACACAGGTCACAGTTGCCCCTGATGGGGTAATAATCTAGGAATCAAAACTCTTTTCTTCCCAGGCGTGTTCGTGTTCTCCGCATCTCCTCTCCCTTTCCCATCCCTTCTCCCTGGGCCATCCTCTCACTCTCTGTCTGTCTCTAGGGAATTACTGAAGACTCCTCTCTGGTTGCCTGCCTCCCTAACTGCTCTTCTCTCTGGGATTTGCAGGTGGCCGCAATGCTGCAGAAGAAGAAGCACTGGAGGTCCATGTGCAAGGGGCTTGTTCTGGGAACTGTCCTGACCAGCTTCATGCTGCTGCTGTACTCCTACATCATTCCCCCTCTGCAAGTCAGCATGATGGAGTGAGTGAGTCCCGCCTTGGCAGAGGGTCTCCGCTTTCTCTAGAACAGCTCCTTTCCAGCCGCTCAGAAATGCTGGCTCCAGGGGTGGGGAAGGGCTGGCTCAGGGGATTGGCAGGTGGGGTACGGAGCCACACTGGGTCAGCTCCAGCCCAGGTGGATTCAATCCAGGAGTGCAATGGTACAGCTACACTGCAAAGAAAACCCCCAGCAGTGAGTCTCAGAGCCCACGTCCACTGACTCAGGCTCACGTTACAGGGCTAAAAATAGCAGTGCAGGTGTTCTCGCTGGGGCTGGAGCCCCGGCTCTGAAACACAAACCCCTGGCCGGGTTTCAGAGCCTGGGCTCCAGTCCGAGCCCTGGCACCTACACAGCTATTGTTAGCCTTGTCTCACAAGCCCAAGCTGGCTGCCCTGGGCTCTGAGACTCACTGCCACGGTGGGGTTTTGTAGTGGTGTTATCCTGAAAGTTGTCGTCTGTGTGAAGTCAACTGGGGGGCTCAGTCCAGTTCTAATGGACAAGGATAAATGTCCTAAAACAACACCCCAGTTCTCAGAAGAGAGCCGATTGTTGGAAGAGCTCCCATGCCCCTAGCTGTGGATCCTGCAGGGCAAAGTTGAGCCCCCTTGGCCAGAGAGGCTTGCTCAGCTGCCTTTACCTGTGATGGGCTATTCTGATCTGTGAAACATTACCCGCCTGTGTGCTTTCTCACTTGCACGCCTTTGAGATCTACAGATGCAAGGTGCTGCATTAGAGCTTTGTATTGATGTATAATTATTATCTAGCCGTGGTGGAGAGCAGTAGATGGACAGTCCTGCCCTGGCCGGATCCCTTCTAAAGGAGAGTTCAATCTCCTGTCTCACGAAATTATCCTGAGGCTGCTGACAAGAGGCCAGTGGGTGCCAGTCATGATGGAGGTGTTTGTGATGGGGACGCGTGTGTTAGAACTGGGCTGAGACACACCAGTCTCATTGCACATGGGAACAGCCACCCAATTGTACACAGCCCAGTGTAACGATAGCCCCGTCCACTGCAGCCTTCGGTCCCAATGTCCTCCCCAGTCCCTGGGCTTCTCACACTGAGCCTGAGCTATCGCCAACCTAGAAGCTGTTCCTCAGGCAGCTCTCTGCACTCTGGCCAAATGCTCTGTGTCTCGAATGAGAAGGGAAAGGACAATTGGCAGTGCAGAAATGGCAGAGCAGTGAAACCTCCAGGCTCCTGCCGATTCACAGGGACAAACTCCTCCTTTTCCTTGGGGTAAAGGGAGGGGACTGCACAGAGGTGGGACAATAAGGGCTGCACTATTGCAGCATTAGAGCCAATATGGGTCCGTGTTGAAGACTAAGGAACATGCCCTCTCCAATGAGAGACAGCCTGGCTCCCACCTCTTAATCGATGCAGGGGGAGGGCGAGGTTTAGGCTGACCCTGTGTACCCCCGCCACCCCTCCTGGCAGCAGGGATCAGTGGGGCTTTCCCCACTTTAAAAAACGACTTCTCCAAGGAGTGGTTTCAGAGACGCTAATAAGTCCACCAGGGACTTTGCTATTGCTAGTGATTTTATGTGGAAGGTGTTCAGATACTACAGTGATGGGCAGCAGAATAAAACTCTTTACATAGATCAATAGATAGATTCAGAATAGGGAAGATCAGACTTGATGAGCGGGTGTTTGCTGCCACATACAGATTTAATCTGGTGAAGGGGAGAGGAGACAAAATCCAACAGCTTCAGTTATTGCAAGTGCCAAAGGTCCTGCAATCCAGCCAGAAAAGCACCTCAGCAACAGAGTGAAGGGAAGGGGCTGGATTCCAGTCTGTGTCACCCTGGTGTAAATCCATAGTAACTCTAGTGAAATCCTCACTGACTTTGCAGTTTACCCCACTGTTCCTGACAAGTGCTGGCCTCAGGCTGCCATGATTCTCTGAAAGGACGAACTTGCTTTCAAACCTTGGGGCCAAATTGTGACTTCAGATCAGTGGCAATTGATGGCAGAGTTTGGTTCACTGCATTCGTACCAAAGGATGCTGGCTCCTGGGGATTGGTTGGCTCAGGGGTTGGGAATGGAGCGTGGAGCCTTTCACCCCAGCCATTGTTTCTAGTCGAGCCCAGGACAGGGGGGTGGAATGGAAGTTAGGAGCCTAACTCCTTTTGCGCATCCCCCCCGCCCCCATAGTGACTAAAGCAGCTCCCAGCTGATGGCTGTGCAGAGGCCAAGGTTACTTACAGTGATGTCAGGGTAGTTCCTGCTGGGAAGGTGTGCACATCACCCCTGCACTCATTGGCACTCTTGCTGGCAATGATAGCAGAGAGGCTGAGCACTGAATGGGCCATGGACCTAGCCCAGGTACTGACGGAAAAGGCTCTGTCAAAATAGCTAGACAGAGTCTGGTCTCCTCTCCACCCCACAGCTGGTCCTTGGGGAACCTGCCATGTGGCTGTCTGTGCTGTACCTATTCAGGGGATCAAGAGAGGGCTCCAGTGCCCAGAGCCCTTGAGCCAGCATCTTTCCCCAGAACCAAACTCCCTTTGAAAGGAATGGCTCTTTTCTGCAGGGTCCTCGTGGCTAGTCACTGGGGATCATGGTGGCTGAGCAAGGCCAGCGCAGAGATCCAGCCCTCACAGATGTGCCTGTTCTTTCCTTTCCTCCAGCATTCCTATCCCTTACTCCTGCTCCTCCTATCCTGCCCAGGCCAGGGTGCCAGGTGTGGTGAACAGCACCCACAGTCCCCTGGGGCAAGGGTGTCTGCCCAAGCTGGACATCATGTTCATGAAGACACACAAGACAGCCAGCAGCACCATCCTAAACATACTCTTCCGCTTCGGTGAGAAGCACCGCCTCAAGTTCGCCTTCCCCAATGGCCGCAATGACTTCTACTACCCCTCCTACTTCGAACGCAGCCAGGTCCAGGACTACCAGCCCGGCATGTGCTTCAACATCATCTGCAACCACATGCGCTTCCAGTACCAGGAGGTGCGCAAGCTACTGCCGGCTGACACCATCTTTCTGACAGTGCTGCGTGACCCTGCCTACCTCTTCGAGTCCTCCTTCCACTACTTTGGGCGCATCATCCCCCTCACCTGGAAGCTGCAAGGTGAGGACAAGCTGGCAGAATTCCTCCGTGACCCATGGCACTACTATGACCCTAACGGGTTCAACGCTCACTACCTCCAGAACCTGCTCTTCTTTGACCTGGGCTATGACAACAACATGAATGCCAACAGCCCCTTGGTGGACCAGTACATCCAGGAGATCAACCAACATTTCCATCTGGTCATGCTGTTGGAGTACTTTGATGAGTCCCTAGTGCTCCTGAAGGACCTGCTGTGCTGGGAGCTGGAGGACGTCCTCTACTTCAAGCTCAATGCCCGCAAGGACTCCACTGTCTCCAAGCTGACAGGTGAGCTCTATGAGAAGGCCACCTACTGGAACCTCATTGACACCAAGCTCTACCGCTACTTCAATGCCACCTTCTGGCGCAAGGTGGAGGCCTATGGGTGGGAGCGAATGGCCAGGGATGTGGCCGAGCTGCACCGGGAGAATGAGAAGATGAAGAGCATCTGCATCGATGGAGGGCGCCCTGTGGATGCCAACGCCATCCAGGAGTCCTCCATGCAGCCATGGCAGCCGTTGGGCCAGAAGTCCATCCTGGGTTACAATTTGAAGAAGAAGATCAACAAGAAGCACCGGAAGCTGTGCCGCAAGATGCTGACACCTGAGATCCAGTACCTGACTGACCTGGGAGTCAACCTCTGGATCACCAAGCTCTGGAGCCACGTGCGGGAGTTCTTAAAGTGGTAACATGTGAACTGCAGCTGTTCCCAACTCCCTCCCCTCCGCTGCCCTCATCCTCACCCAAGAGGAGAACCAAGTGCTTTCATTTTCGTTTCTTCCTTATGTCTGTTGGCTGGATGCAGGACATGACATGTCGTCAACAAGCAGAACTGACTTGAGGCTCCAACATGGAATATTGCTTTTCACAATGTGTTTTCTTCTTGCTTCTATTTGAAAGTAATGGGGGCACCGTCTGTGGCAGTGGGATCCCAGCCTGGGTACCTCACTCATGTTAATAGCAGTATACCTGTCACAGCGTAAACAGGAGACAAGATATGGAGTTGCAAGTGTGTGTGTTTGTTTGTACTGATGACTGGTTTTGTGTGCTGCACACTGATGGGTGTATGCTTTAATGTGTGTGCTTTACTCCAGCTGCAAGAATGTGTGTGCAATGCATTGCAATGTGCGAAGGAATCTCGGGGTTGGGAGGTATGTCAGATATGTTATACTGTATATTCTGGGTGTGAGTGCGCTTGTGAACCACACATTACTCTGTGTGTGTGTAAATAGTACATGACAGTGAACACTGGTATTAATGGGGGTGTGGTCAGTATATTTGCTGGTGGTTGCAGGGGGAGCCTTAGCCTGTTACATTACAGGATTCTCTGTGTGTGTGAGAGATTGATCTGTTCACACAACAAATACAAAGTGTAACAGTACTCTGCAACAAACATTGGTCTCTCTAGGTGTGTCACTATGTCACTGTGTGTATTTCAGTGTGTGCAGGGTGTACATACAGGAATCTGTGCATGGTTGACATGTGGTGGCTGTGTACAATACCGTACAGTGAATATCCAGATCTTGTGTAGGGGATGTAAGAGATGGATGTATTACAGTGTGTGTGTGTGTGTGTGTGTGAGAGAGAGAGAGAGAGACCAACCTGTTATCGGGTGTATGGGGATCTGCGTGCATATTTCACTCAGTATGTGTGAATCTGACCAGCCTGTTTGCCTGCATATCTGTTTAGAGCTGCACAAGTCACACTATGGCTGATATACCAGACAATACTCAGTACTCTCTGTCCATTCTAGAGACAGCCATTTGCACTGATTCACACTGGCCTAGAGACTGTCAGTTCCATGTAGACCACATACAGTCTGTGTGTGAAAGTCAATATGTGTCTACATGCTGGTTTTTATCTGCATCAGAGGGCTTAGTTGGCCACAACAGTCTTCAGCCTGCACTGACTCAGACCAGTCCATATATGGGAAATAACAACCAAGGCAGCGGTCCTTAAATACATTAAGACGGCCAACGTGTCACATTTAATCAAACTAGTTCTCCCATAGCACTGATTTTGAACAGGCTATGCATGATTCATACTACTCCAAGTGGTAGATATTACCAGCTCAAGCTGCACCTAACTCAACCTCCATGTACGTGTTTTTATGGTGTTCAGTGAGCTCAGACAGTCTGTAGTTGACCATGGGTCCTTATAACACATTATTGACTAGCAGCCAGCAAAATGACTATATTGTTTGAAGCAGCATCAACACTTGAGTTTCAGGCATGTATAAAAACCCCACTACACAAGCCTTCTGTGGGTTTGTTTGTGGTCCTTGAATTTCTAACCAGCCTGGCAGGTTCAAAAGAAAACAAGAGAGTCTTTTCAGGGTGTCTGCCAACCAAATCCCAGCCTCCAGCAGCTGTTGCCTGTGGAGGTTTCACTGCATGAACCTGGCCACTGTCAGATCCTTTGCTGCAGGGTCTCATGCCTACGGCTGGATACTGGATGGTAGGTTTCCACTGTAACCCATAGCTCCAGTCGCCATGTGTGTATCATTCCCTGAGCCACCATGGGCTCAGTGCTCCAAGCTTCCTGTCTTCCTGTTGGACCATGGCTGGTTGGCTCCCAGCAGAGCAGAGTGTGTTCTCTTCCTGCCCCCACACCACCAGTTCGAGGGTCCCATGGTGCCCCTCCCTAGAGGGGACGCTGGGTGTGAGCCACGAGACCTGGTGAGAACTGGTGGGGGTACAGGAGGGCTTGGGAGAGAGGCTGAGGGGGCAGGACAGCATGTTCCCTGCTTTCTCTTCTTGCTTTGAGGCTTGGCTGGGGTGGGGAGTCCAGAGGGGAAGAGGGAACAGGAGACAAGCTCCCAACAGCTGCCATGCTTGTGACCCCTCACAATGAGCCCCCCGCTAGCCCTGCAGCCACTGCACCTCTCTTCAGGAGAATGGGACAAAGCCGAAGGGCAAGGGGACCCAACCAGGGTGTTTAGTATGAGGGCGATCAGCCTGGGAGGCACTGGGCTGAGCAGCAGCCATCATGGATGTGTTAGGAGGGAGCCAGCGAGCAGGGAGGGGCCCCAGGGCTGTGCAGCTAGGAGGCACAGTTCATCGGGCTACACAGGGAGTAACCAAAGCACCAGGCCTGGAAAGGGATGGAAGCAACCCAGCTGCACAGAGGCAAGGAGGGAGGGTGGCGAGAGCAGACTGAGGGCAGACCTTTCAGGGAGCACTGTTTGAAGAGGGGAAGGGTTGGGGGAGTCCCCGCTTGGCACTGAATCCCCCAGCTTTATGGCCCACCTGCCACCATGAGCTTGGACTCTGGGAATGCAGCAGCCAGAGACTCCCTGGCAGTAGGGGAGGGGGACAAGATTCCAGCCGCCCCCCAGCAACACCAGGAATTTCCAGCAGGGGAGAACTTGCCTGTCCTGCATTTGCAGCCCAGGGCCCTCCGCCCCCATCCCATGGACTCAGCCTCCCATGGCCTTGGGGGAGCTGGGGTGGCCATATGCCACTCGGTTCACACCCAGGGGCAGCAGTTCGTGGAGTGACAGGAGGCCCAGTGAGAGCAGGGAAAGCGCTAAAGGCTTCTCCCCCCGCAGCCCATATGCGGCTGCTGGCAAAGGGGTCCTCTGCTGAATCTGCAGCCCAGGGTGCTCCAGAGGGGGCACGGTGGGGATTGGGGTGCGGTGGCGTGTGGCATCAGCAGAGGAGCTGGTTGCAGGTGGCTGGAAGATGAGAGCTGGGGTGATGCCCCCACCCCCAAAGATACCTGCTTGGAGCATAGGCCCCAGGTTCACAGGGCTGCACAAGAGAGAGACTTGCCTCACAGACAGGGCTTGGGGGATATGTTAGAGTGAGAGCAGGCAGCTTGTGGGAAGGCTGGTCCCTGTCTCTCCCCTGTGAGTGGACTCCAGGAGGCAGCAGCTGGTCATGTGCCCCGTCAGCCCTGCCCCAGTCCTTAGTTCTCAGCACCGTCTCCAGGGCTGCGGCGGGAGCCTAAGGGCAACCCCTAACTGGCATACAGTGGAGCAGAGTACGATGCCGCATCCTCGGGGTGGCCTATGGGATGGCAGTGCCAGCACGCCCTGCTCTGTCTTTGAAGATGCTCAGATGCAGAAGGAGCCACGCAGGCAGGGATCTGTGGTCCTTGTGCACCGCCCGCATGTTTTAAAGCGGAAGGTAACCCCAGACCTTGCTGTCAAACGGCCTCCTTCCTCTCCCGGCTGTAGCCGTTGGGTGCCATCGATACTCCTTGGTGGGAGGGTGTCTAACGTTCTGCTCTGCTTGGAAAGACAGGGAATAAAATGATCATTTTGTATGACAATTATACTGTATATTTGACAGTTTTTAATATATGAACCGTTCAGCTGTTCTTGTTGTGGTCTCTTTCTTCTCCCCCCGGGAGCTGGCAGGGGGGTCTTGGCCCCATTAGCAATGGATATGGAGACTCCTGGGGCAGCAGCCTCAGGAGATAGGGGGACCTAGCCCAAGGGACAAGTCTGCTTCCATTGATTGCAGAGGGCAGATTGATTTCATTTCCCCCCTTCTGACCTCTTCTGCTCAGGCCTGACCTCCTGAGAGGAAATCCCAGGAGGGCAGATGGAGAGCAGGTGGGCACAGCCTTATTCCTGGATCCTGAGCAGCTGTCGCTGGCTACTCCTGCTGGAAAGGGCTTTCCCAGCTGAGTTTCCCCCTCCCTGACTCTTCCTGCCATTGCCGCCCCACTGCAGTCCCCCAGCAATTCCCCCTGCTGATGCCAGATTCCTGGATCCATTCTCAGGCAGCCTTTCTGACTCACTGCTGGGGGTCCCCAGCGCTTGCCTATGCGGGAGAACCTATCCAACTCCCCTTCTGGCAATCTTCTTCAGCATGCTTCACTGGCAGGGCCTGCTGGGATTCTCCAGCAACTGCCACTGCTCAGTGAGTGGTGTCCTAATCTGGCCTTGCCTGCATGGGAACACGGCACTCGTACTAAATCAGATTAGAAATTGATGCAGGTAAATCAATGCAACGCCCTGGTGCAGACAGTTTTGTTTCTGGTTAAGAGAGCTCTACAGTGCCCTAGGTTAACTCAGTAAGAAATCAGTGAGTCAGGCGCTCTAAAACAGAAGTGAGTGTCCACACACGGGTTGCACTGAGTTAACCCAGTCATTGCACAGACGCTCAGAATGTGGAGAAAGAATCACATTCATGCTTGTGCATTTTCCACCCATGAACATTACAGTGTGGGGGAGGGATAGCTCAGTGGTTTGAGCATTGCTCTGCTAAACCCAGGGTTGTGAGTTCAATTCTTGAGGGGGCCGTTTAGGGATCCGAGGCAAAAATTGGGGATTGGTCCTGCTTCAAGCAGGGGGTTTGACTAGGTGACCTCCTGAGGTCCCTTCCAACCCTGATATTCTATGATGCTATTCTATGATAGGGCGGGTCAGTATTGTCATCCATATGCTACAGATGGGGAAACTGAGGCACAGGGTAAGACTATAACTTGCCAAGTTCACCCAGGAAGCCAGCGGCAGAGCCAGGAATAGACCCATATTCAGAATGGAGCCCGGGCCACTGAAGCAGTACAGATGCCAACGCCTTAATCCTACAAACGTCCACACACTTACCTTTAACCATGTGTGCAAGTGCAGGACCATCTAAAAATGCCCCTTGCGGCAAATAAAACACCAAGATCCTGCAATGAACCCAGGTTTCCTTGCAGCTGCGTTGCCTTTGCACAGCACTCGAGGATGCTGGCAGAAGTAGGGGACCTGCAGGTAGCAGGATTTATATAAGTGAAGCAGCTGCTGGCACAGCCACCACAAAGGTCCCATCCCTCAGCAGCCGGTGATAACTGACACTTCTAGGCTGCTTTGCAGCCCAACACCCTCTGGAGACGCTGCAGGATTCATCTGACCCAGGACTGAACCGTGGCAGCTGTTTAATAGCTCACAGCAGGGTCATTTTAGGACAGGGAATGAGAGTGTCCTCTCCAGGTGACACTGCAGGGATGACTTCAGGGAAGCAGAATACAGGTACCTGGGTGGATACGTGGCTAGACCCCACCTTCCTTTTGCAGAAAGTGCCCTGGGATTTTAATTACTCCAACCAGTTAGGACATCAGCTTTATGGGTCACCCAAAAGACAGTGCCTCCTCGTGTGGCAGCTCTGTGCTAACTCACTGGAGAGGAGAGAAAACAGCTCACTTCTTACAGCACCTCTTCTTTTCCTATGAAAGTCTTCCATCTACACTGCTGCCCTTATTATAAATTAGCAGTAGCACGCAGAGGCCCTCATCCGAATCAGGCCCTGTTGTGCTGGGTGCTATACAAACACTTCTGAAGGTGCAGTCCTTGGTGCAAAGAACTTACAGCACACAGCCCCAGTCCTGCAGCCTGCTCAGGGGGGGGGGGGGTGCACCTTGATACCTGCCCAACTTACCCCTGACTTGGATGAGGCATAGCAAAAGCATAGGACAGCAGCCAAGAGCCCTGCCCACATCTGTAGGTGACACTTCTGCCTGCTCTCTGGGCCTAGGACTAGCTGAGCAGCCCTTTTGCCTGGAGACAGTTGGGTTTGTCTGTGGGGGCCTGAAAGCTGGCTCTCCTGATGGGGAGGAAGATGAAGAATGCCCAGCACCTGAGTTGAATGCTGCATTCTGCGGCTCCTGGCTGGGGCTGCTTGTGGAGGTTAAGGAGGTGGCTCTGATCACAGCAGTAGCCTATCACTAGATGGGTATATATAGCTTCTCCCCAGGAGCTAGAGGTATGTTGCCTTCCTGCTAACCTGAGTGTGGGTTACTAGCATCATGGGGCTGTGGAAAGCATTTCTGGGGGTGCTCATCTGGAGCTCAGCTCTTGCTGCTCAGAGAGGTAAGTGTGTGGTGATAAGTCTGTCTGTCCCCATCTCCCCCCCCATGGGGGTTCTGAGCTAAGGTCCAGTACTCAGTGATACCAACTTCAGTGTTCAAAAATCAAGGGTATTTTGTTTTTAAACACACTTGTTATCTGCCCTCTAGCTTTTGAACCTTCTGTTTCAAAGCTTGTCTCAGCAACCAAATCACTTCGCTCTCCAGTGAAGTTGAGTCTCAGGCAATAACTTGACTCCAGGGGCTGGCTGTAAGAAACCTCCCATGTCCTAACTCTAGTTCTAAGCTCACTAGAGCTGCCAACGCTGACTGCTCTCTAAAGGGGGACCTTTGCTTTGACCCTGCTTCTTTGACCTTTGCAATTAAGGTTGTAAATGCAGTAACCCAACCTGAAAGCTGCCTGCAGGCTATTTCCGAGACTCGGCTTGCCAGCTCCTTTTTGCAGAGTGAGCTCCTGCTTGTGCTGGGAGTGATATCTAACACTAGCTCTTCACCAGCTGTAGCCAATTCTGGTAGCTACAGCAGTGTCACTTTGAAGGCTAATGAGAACTTGGTGCTGTCTCATGCTTGGCTACAGAAGCATCTTGAACAGCTGTAACCCTTTACCCCACAGGTGCTGACCTTCTTCTTTCTGGGTGGGGGCCCCAGGGCCCCCTCTTCTGCCCCTCCCCTGGACTCTGAGCACACCCCACCCTTGCTCTGCCTCCTTCTGCCCTGTTCCTCTCCCTCCCACCCACTGGTTGGTGCTGGCTGCTGAGCACCCATGATTTTGCCCAAGGGCTCTCCAGCTGCAGAGCACCAAGGAAGGGTTTCCTTTCCTTAAAGGAGCCTGACCAGCAGGGACAGGCTCTAAGAGTTCCCTGGAAGTCCCCAGGTGATGGGTAGGGTGGAGGTAAAAGACTTCTTTTTAATAAAGTAACAAGCACAATGGCATTTGTGACCACGGGATGGTGACACACCCCTATCTTCAAGGGGAGTGAGGCCAACAGTGAACCAACTGCATGAAATTTATCTGTTAATTACAGATAATGGCACTGAAGCCAGATCCTCTAGCTAGAGGGTCAAAGAGCCTGGGCAGTCAAACCTCCAGGTGCTGGCTCCTTTCTAGTAACAGCAAAGGTTCTGAAGGGCTGGCTATCTGATCATTTTGCTAGCTAAGCCAATGGCTCCTCCCAAGGAGGACTCCTCTGACATTCTTGTCCAGAGGGCCTGCCACCTGGTGGGATTACAGGAGGTCTGGGGGAAAGATTATCTCTGTGGGCCTCCCCAGAGGGTTATGTCAAGTCGGCTCACTCTCCTCTAGCACCCATTAACTCTGTGCTCTACGAGTGCAATAAAACCAGCATCCACCTGGCTGTAAAGATAGACCCCTTGGGAAATGGACTCCTGCTGGATCCACAACTTGTGCACCTGGGCAGCTGCCTCTACTCCATCAACGACCTGCAGGGCTTTCTGCACTTCCAGTACCGCCTGAAGGACTGTGGCTTCTCTCGGCTGGTGAGTGAGAGAACCTTAGCTGGGGCGCAGCCTTGTGTTCTGAGCAGTAAGGTGCTGTCTGCTGCTTGGATGCCTGCAAGCTGGCTCGTTTTGCGTACTCTGGCTGTGTGGGTGAGAACAAACTGCCCTCCTGCTGGGTGAGGGGTCTGAGAGAGTGTCCCCCCTCATGTGCTGAACTGGCAAGGGAAGGGATGGCTGTGTGAATGGATATCCCAAGGGCCTATTACTTTGGATTTGGATCCTGATTCTCTGTTCCAGGGGGAGGCTGGGTCCTGGCCCACTACCTGAACAGCATGTTGGCTCCCCTGGCAGAGGGGAGAAATGCTAAATGGCAAAGGCCCCTCCCAAGTGGCTCTTACCTAGCTGGGCTTCTGTCCATATTCCCAGTTTAATACTCCCAGTAACAGACTGGTGCCCTGCCAGGGAATGCTGGGGGGGGAGGCAGTGTGGAGTAGCATCCCTCTCCCTTGCTTAGGGCAAGGGCTTGTCTCAAGGAACAGAAATACTGTTTCACTTCCTTAGCAATGAACCAACCCTCCCACTTTGCTAGGCCAAGAGCTACAGGAGGAAGCTGTAACTGATGCTAGTGCTGACCGCCACCCTCTCTGATTTCTTCCCCCCCACATGCACACATCTCCAGACATCTGGGAACATGATTGAATACTTCACGGACCTGGTCTACAGGCCTTCCCCTGGCACAGGCAGACGCTATACCACCTCCTTCACTGAGAGGATCAACTGCACTGACTATGAGTAAGCTGCCGGCACTTAGCTTATGCTAGCACCCTAAGGGACTAATGCTAAAATTTCCCAGACTCTCATGGGCTTCACTGAGGGGCAATAGGACCCCATAAAAAGCAGCAGGGATTCAAGACAGGGCTCTAACTAGCTGATTGGGGTGGGGGGTGATGTGCACCCCAACTGTCAAAGGGATGTTGATCACAGGGTTGGAGCAAAGCAAGCTCATGTGGGATGAGTTGTCCTGGCTATTGCCATCTAGTAAACCTGGCTTATATCCCTAGTA